CTCCTGCGCTGTCCCTCCACCCTCCCAAGCATGATGCCCTTCTCCAAGGACTGGTCTCTCCTTACAACATGTCCAAAGTATGTCAGATAAAGCCTCAGAATCCTTGCCTCCAAGGAGCAGCCTGGTTTAACCCTTTCCAGGATGAATCTGTTTGCTTTCTTAGCAGTTCATGGCCTTTGGTTTATTATAAATATTTAGTATGAAATTTGGCTTCCCACAGAGTCCTGCCATCTGAAATGTGACTTTGTTTTTTTGATTATTCTTTATCTTTTTGTTCATATTCAGATTTCTCCACATCAGAGAGGATATAGCTGCGGGTGAGTTCTCCTGGTAGGAATTCCCTACATTCTGCTCCTCCTGTGTGATTTACGGCCTCAGAAGCCCAGTGAAAGGTCTGCTATGAGTTGATCCCAGCTTGATAGCCATGAGTGTGAGAAACTCCATCCAATCGGAACCGAACTTAACTAACTGCCGCTGAGCTGATGCCAACTCACAGAATAGCTCCAATCAGGTGCCCAAGATGTAAATTATATAATATATACACACCATCCTCACACTTCCTGACACACCAGAGCCCATTGCTGCAGTTGCTGTGTCAATCCACCTGGTTGAGGTCCTCCTCTCCTTTGCCGACCCTCCACCCTTCGCAGCATCATTTCCTTTTCCAAAGCCTCATCATTCTTGGCACCAGCAGCCAGGAAATTAAAAGGCGCATTGCCATGGGAGTCTGCTGTTAGGGACCTCTCCAAAGTGCTGAAGAGCAGTGGTGTCTCTCTGGAGACTAAGGTGCGTCTGATACAGGCCATGGTCTTCGCAATCACCTGTTATGCATCAGAGAGTTGGACAATGACCAAGGAGGATAGAAGGAGAACTGATGCCTTTGAGCTGTGGTGCTGGAGAAGAGTACTGAGAATACCATGGACTGCTAGGAAAACAAATAGATTTGTCCTGGAGAGGGTTAAACCGGGTGGCTCCTTGGAGGCAAGGATTCTGAGGCTCCGTCTAACTTACTTCGGACATGTAGTGAGGAGAGACCGGTCCTTGGAGAGGGACATCATGCTTGGGAGGGTGGAGGGACGGCGCAGGAGAGGCAGGCCCTCTATGAGGTGGATTGATTCAGTGACTGGGATAATTGGGATGGGAGTGTCAGAGACAGTGAGATTGGCACAGGACAGAGCGGAGTTTAGGGCTGTTGTACATAGGGTCGCTATGAGTCGCAGGCGACTCGACGGCACATAACAACAACAACAACATCATTCTTGCCTCCAAAGAGCACTCCGGCTGCACCCTCTCCAAGACATAGCCGTTGGTTCTCTTGGCCGTCCATGGGATGGATGTTCAGTGCTCCTCTCCAACACCACAGCTGAAAAGTGCCAATTCTTTTTCTGTCATCCTTATTCACTTTCCAGCTCTCAGATGCATAGCTAGTAATCGGAAAGACCATGGCCTGAATCAGACACACCTTAGTCCTCAAACTGATATCGTTACTCCTCAATAATTTGGAAAGGTCCCTAAGTGCAGATTTTTCCAGTGCAACGCACCTCCTTATTTCCTGACTGCTAGTACCAGACAAAGCAGCTCGATTCTGTCCTGTGGGGCAACATGATTGTGAATCAGCTAGACAGTGTGACTCTGGCTCTGATTTAGATCTCTGGATATGATTCCATTTAGGAATGGCCTTTCTTTGTTATATTAATGATGCACCACCAGCACACAGTGTGTCTTAAGTCAAGCTCTTTATCCCCCATCTCCATATTTTTATTGTTATGCATATAATTATTCATATCCCTTGTGTTTCGCTCATGTACAAAATGTTTGTGTGTGTTTCACACTTTCCTTCACTGACATTGTGTTTCTTTTCTTTTCATTTTAATATTTTTTTAATTTTTATTGTATTATTTTTACATGTACCGTCAAATCAGATCTGACAGGTATAGGAGGAGATTGCCCCTCCTTCTCCAGCAGAGCATCTGGTGGATTGACATTGTGTTTCTTACAATCTTTCCCACACCTTGTGCTTTATAAAATTAGTCACCATAGGACTATGACCACCGTTATCCCATCATTTCAGGTCCCCACTAGA